CTGAGGGGAGTTGTCGTCGTTGGGCATCTTCCGGCTCGTTCTGATGCTCCTTCTGCTGCTACTCCTCTTCACGGATTCCGTCAGCAGTCTTTCTTTAACTACGGTCAGGGACAGTACATGTCATTTACGGCCCACTGGGTGAACGTGGTGCTGTCACAGCCGCACCAGCAACTTGGACAGGTCACGCCGCTTTTGCCTCCACGTTTGCACGTCCTTGGTCCGGCAAAGATGTCCGCCTCTACCACCTCTTCTTCCGCCGTGTCCTCAGCCGCCACCCCCGTGCCAAGTCCCATTACCCGACCGGCATATCACATGTGCAGGGCAACGGTGTCACGCTGTGCTGCACCTGGTATGCCTTGGCGAACGTAGTCACACAGGGGAGGAACTTCTCAGTGTAATGAACAGAGAAATCGACAGATGGCTGTCTCCGCGCAAACTGAAAATCGGAACCATGTTGACCGACAACGGAAAGAACATGGTGTCTGCTCTGCGTCAAGGAAGGTTGTGCCATGCGCCATGCATGGCTCACGTGTTCAATCTGGTTGTCAAGCGGTTCCTAAAATCCACCATCCCACTGCAAGACATCCTTAAAATGTCACGTAAACTTTGCATGCATTTCAGCCATTCCTACACCGCAAAGCACACCCTCCTTGAGCTGCAGCGGCAGAACGGAATTGCACAGCATCGCCTGATCTGCGACGTTGCAACAAGGTGGAATTCAACCCTACACATGTTAGACCGCCTTTACGAACAGCGAAAGGCCATCACCGATTTCCTGATGTTACAAGCGGATAAAGGTACTCCCCTGTGTAACTTTGATGTCAGCCATTGGCAGCTCATGCGTGACACCTGCCGCTTGCTCAGGCCCTTTGAGGAGGCCACGCTATTCGTGAGTCGGCAGGACTATGGGATGAACGACGTCATTCCTCTGTTGCACGTCCTGGAACAAATGCTGTTAACAATGGCTGGTCAGGGTGCGGTAGACGTGGCGCACAGATCTCTCAACGCCACATGACCCCTGTGGGGGCAGGACAGGAAGAAGAGGAGGAGGTAGAGGAGGACATTTGTGCTCAGGAATTATTGAGTGAAATGGGTGGTTTTTCCACTCAGCGGACAGGAGTGGAGGAGCAGGAGCATCTGGTAGAGGAGGAGGAGGAGGAGACAGAGGACCCAGACGCACCGTGGCAGTATGCTGTGGAGATGGAGGCAGGGAGTCCCTCGCATTCCTTGGCACAAATGGCCCATAGCATGCTCGCTTGCTTGCGTAGCGACAGCCGAATAATAACCATCAGACAGAGGGATGACTTTTGGGCTGTCCACCTTGTTGGACCCTCGCTACCGTTCAAAAATGGTGGCCTTTTTCACACCTGCTGAGAGGGAGGCCAAAATAACGTACTATAAAAACCACCTATGTAGTCAGTTGGTCTCTGCCTTTGTGCGCCAACGTCCATCCTCAGACACTGTGGGCCCTGTGCGCTCGCGTTCCGCTGCCATGGCAGCAGGGGAGGGGTGGGGTGGTAGGAGCAGTGGCAGCTCCACCAGCAGCGGCTGCCTCAGTCTGCAGTCGATGATGAGTAGCTTTCTTCACCAGCGCAGTGAGGAAACTAACCAACCAGCCGCAGCAGCAGCAGCAGCATCAGGTGGACCTGGAGCAGGACCTCAAACAACAGGCTTGGGCCTACTTGGACAGCACCCTGCCAACCGAGGTAGACAATCCCCTTGACTACTGGGCAACGAAACTTGACCTTTGGCCCCAACTAGCTGAATTTGCCCTTGAAAGGCTGTCATGCCCGGCCAGTAGCGTGGCATCGGAGCGCGTGTTGTTTAGTGCGGCAGGAGGTATTGTAACTCCGCGGAGGACACGACTGTCCACCCAAAGTGTGGAGAGAGACTCACGTTTGTGAAAATGAATCAGGCGTGGATTAGTCTGGATTTCAAACCACCAGTTCCTGACACAACTGACTAAATCCGCCATGAATCATGCCTCAAACATGTGCCACTTTCAGGTCTCCTCACACACTGCTGGTGTGTGTTCCATTTTTTGTCATAGGGTGCTGGCAGATTACGGGCCTCCCATAGCTGCTGCCAGGCCCCTAATCTGCCATGGGCCCCTATATACCGCCTCCTCATGCTGCTGCCAGGTCCAGAGTCTGTCCTCTCATGGGTCCCTGTACGGCCTCCCATTGCTGCTGTCTCACAGCCACACTTATGCCATGTGCCACTTTCAGGTCTCCTCACACTGCTGGTGTGTGTTCAATTTTTTGACATAGGGTGCTGGCAGATTACGGGCCTCCCATAGCTGCTGCCAGGCCCCTAATCTGCCATGGGCCCCTATATACCGCCTCCTCATGCTGCTGCCAGGTCCAGAGTCTCTCATGGGTCCCTGTACGGCCTCCCATTGCTGCTGTCTCCATCGCCACACTCTGCCATGTGCCACTTTCAGGTCTCCTCACACACTGCTGGTGTGTTGAATTTTTTGACATAGGGTGCTGGCAGATTACGGGCCCCCATAGCTGCTGCCAGGCCCCTAATCTGCCATAGGCCCCTATATACCGCCTCCTCATCTCATGCTGCTGCCAGGTCCAGAGTCTCTCATGGGTCCCTGTACGGCCTCCCATTGCTGCTGTCTCCATCGCCACACTCTGCCATGTGCCACTTTCAGGTCTCCTCACACACTGCTGGTGTGTTGAATTTTTTGACATAGGGTGCTGGCAGATTACGGGCCTCCCATAGCTGCTGCCAGGCCCCTAATCTGCCATAGGCCCCTATATACCGCCTCCTCATGCTGCTGCCAGGTCCAGAGTCTCTCATGGGTCCCTGTACGGCCTCCCATTGCTGCTGTCTCCATCGCCACACTCTGCCATGTGCCACTTTCAGGTCTCCTCACACACTGCTGGTGTGTTGAATTTTTTGACATAGGGTGCTGGCAGATTACGGGCCTCCCATAGCTGCTGCCAGGCCCCTAATCTGCCATGGGCCCCTATATACCGCCTCCTCATGCTGCTGCCAAGTCCAGAGTCTCTCATGGGTCCCTGTACGGCCTCCCATTGCTGCTGTCTCCATCGCCACACTCTGCCATGTGCCACTTTCAGGTCTCCTCACACACTGCTGGTGTGTTGAATTTTTTGACATAGGGTGCTGGCAGATTACGGGCCTCCCATAGCTGCTGCCAGGCCCCTAATCTGCCATGGGCCCCTATATACCGCCTCCTCATGCTGCTGCCAAGGTCCAGAGTCTCTCATGGGTCCCTGTACGGCCTCCCATTGCTGCTGTCTCCTCGCCACACTCTGCCATGTGTGCCACTTTCAGGTCTCTCACACACTGCTGGTGTGTTTGAATTTTTTGACATAGGGTGCTGGCAGATTACGGGCCTCCCAGCTGCTGCCAGGCCCCTAATCTGCCATGGGCCCCTATATCTGCTGCCATGTCCAGAGTCTCTCCCCTGTACGGCCTCCCATTGCTGCTGCTCCATCGCCACACTCTGCCATGTGCCACTTTCAGGTCTCCTCACACTGCTGGTGTGTTGAATTTTTTGACATAGGGTGCTGGCAGATTACGGGCCTCCTATAGCTGCTGCCAGGCCCCTAATCTGCCATGGGCCCCTATATACCGCCTCCTCATGCTGCTGCCAGTCCAGAGTCTCTCATGGGTCCCTGTACGGCCTCCCATTGCTGCTGTCTCCATCGCCACACTCTCTGCCATGTGCCACTTTCAGGTCTCCTCACACTGCTGGTGTGTTGAATTTTTTGACATAGGGTGCTGGCAGATTACGGGCCTCCCATAGCTGCTGCCAGGCCCCTAATCTGCCATGGGCCCCTATATACCGCCTCCTCATGCTGCTGCCAGGTCCAGAGTCTCTCATGGGTCCCTGTACGGCCTCCCATTGCTGCTGTCTCCATCGCCACACTCTGCCATGTGCCACTTTCAGGTCTCCTCACACACTGCTGGTGTGTTGAATTTTTTGACATAGGGTGCTGGCAGATTACGGGCCTCCCATAGCTGCTGCTGCCAGGCCCCTAATCTGCCATGGGCCCCTATATACCGCCTCCTCATGCTGCTGCCAAGTCCAGAGTCTCTCATGGGTCCCTGTACGGCCTCCCATTGCTGCTGTCTCCATCGCCACACTCTGCCATGTGCCACTTTCAGGTCTCCTCACACTGCTGGTGTGTTGAATTTTTTGACATAGGGTGCTGGCAGATTACGGGCCTCCCATAGCTGCTGCCAGGCCCCTAATCTGCCATAGGCCCCTATATACCGCCTCCTCATGCTGCTGCCAGGTCCAGAGTCTCTCATGGGTCCCTGTACGGCCTCCCATTGCTGCTGTCTCCATCGCCACACTCTGCCATGTGCCACTTTCAGGTCTCCTCACACACTGCTGGTGTGTTGAATTTTTTGACATAGGGTGCTGGCAGATTACGGGCCTCCTATAGCTGCTGCCAGGCCCCTAATCTGCCATGGGCCCCTATACCGCCTCCTCATGCTGCTGCCAGGTCCAGAGTCTCTCATGGGTCCCTGTACGGCCTCCCATTGCTGCTGTCTCCATCGCCACACTCTGCCATGTGCCACTTTCAGGTCTCCTCACACACTGCTGGTGTGTTGAATTTTTTGACATAGGGTGCTGGCAGATTACGGGCCTCCCATTGCTGCTGCCAGGCCCGTAATCTGCCATGGGCCCCCGTACCGACTCCTCATGCTGTGACGTTGCAACAAGGTGGAATTCAACCCTACATATGTTAGACCGCCTTTATGAACAGCAAAAGGCCATCACAGATTTCCTGAGTTAAAAGCGGATAAAGGTACTCCCTGTGTAACTTAGATGTCAGCCATTGGCAGCTCATGCGTGACACCTGCGCTTGCTCAGGCCCTTTGAGGAGGCCACGCTATTCGTGAGTCGGCAGGACTATGGGGACTCCATGAACGACGTCATTCCTCTGTTGCACGTCCTGGAACAAATGCTGTTAACAATGGCTGGTCAGGGTGCGGTAGACGTGGCGCACAGATCTCAACGCCACATGACCCCTGTGGGGGCAGGACAGGAAGAAGAGGAGGAGGTAGAGGAGGACATTGGTGCTCAGGAATTATTGAGTGAAATGGGTTTTTTTTCCACTCAGCGGACAGGAGTGGAGGAGCAGGAGCATCTGGTAGAGGAGGAGGAGGAGGAGACAGAGGACCCAGACGCACCGTGGCAGTATGCTGTGGAGATGGAGGCAGGGAGTCCCTCGCATTCCTTGGCACAAATGGCCCATAGCATGCTCGCTTGCTTGCGTAGCCATGATCAGGCCGCCTAATATACTTTACGCCTCATGTGCTGACACCGACAGCCGAATAATAACCATCAGACAGAGGGATGACTTTTGGCTGTCCACCTTGTTGGACCCTCGCTACCGTTCCAAAATGGTGGCCTTTTTCACACCTGCTGAGAGGGAGGAGGCCAAAATAACGTACTATAAAAACCACCTATGTAGTCAGCTGGTCTCTGCCTGTCTGCGCCAACGTCCATCCTCAGACACTGTGGGCCCTGTGCGCTCGCGTTCGCTGCCATGGCAGCAGGGGAGGGGTGGGGTGGTAGGAGGAGCAGTGGCAGCTCCACCAGCAGCAGCTGCCTCAGTCTGCAGTCGATGATGAGTAGCTTTCTTCACCAGCGCAGTGAGGAAACTAATAACCAGCCGCAGCAGCAGCAGCAGCAGCAGCATCAGGTGGACCTGGAGCAGGACCTCAAACAACAGGCTTAGGCCTACTTGGACAGCACCCTGCCAACCGAGGTAGACAATCCCCTTGACTACTGGGCAACGAAACTTGACCTTTGCCCCAACTAGCTGAATTTGCCCTTGAAAGGCTGTCATGCCCGGCCAGTAGCGTGGCATCGAAGCGCATGTTTAGTGCGGCAGGAGGTATTGCAACTCCGCGGAGGACACGACTGTCCACCCAAAGTGTGGAGAGACTCACGTTTGTGAAAATGAATCAGGCGTGGATTAGTCTGGATTTCAAACCACCAGTTCCTGACACAACTGACTAAATCCGCCATGAATCATGCCCAAACATGTGCCACTTTCAGGTCTCCTCACACTGCTGGTGTGTTCCATTTTTTGTCATAGGGTGCTGGCAGATTACGGGCCTCCCATAGCTGCTGCCAGGCCCCTAATCTGCCATGGGCCCCTATACCGCCTCCTCATGCTGCTGCCAAGTCCAGAGTCTCTCATGGGTCCCTGTACGGCCTCCCATTGCTGCTGTCTCCATCGCCACACTGTGCCATGTGCCACTTTCAGGTCTCCTCACACTGCTGGTGTGTTCAATTTTTGTCATAGGGTGCTGGCAGATTACGGGCCTCCTATAGCTGCTGCCAGGCCCCTAATCTGCCATGGGCCCCTATACCGCCTCCTCATGCTGCTGCCAGGTCCAGAGTCTCTCATGGGTCCCTGTACGGCCTCCCATTGCTGCTGTCTCCATCGCCACACTCTGCCATGTGCCACTTTCAGGTCTCCTCACACACTGCTGGTGCGTTCCATTTTTTGTCATAGGGTGCTGACAGATTACGGGCCTCCCATTGCTGCTGCCAGGCCTGTAATCTGCCATGGGCCCCCGTACCGCCTGGTCACGCTGCTGCTGGGTCCACAGTGTGACATGGGTCCCTGTACCGCCTCCCATTGCTCCCACTCTGCCATGTGCCACTTTGAGGTCTCCTCACACTCCTGCTGTTTTCCATTTTGTCATAGTTGCTGGCAGATTACAGGCCTCCCATAGGTGCTGCCAGGCCCCAAATCTGCCATGGGCCCCCGTACCGCCTCGTCACGCTGCTGCTGGGTCCACAGTGTGACATGGGTCCCTGTACCGCCCTCCCATTGCTCCCACTCTGCCATGTGCCACTTTGAGGTCTCCTCACACTCCTGCTGGTTTCCATTTTGTCATAGGTTGCTGTATGGCCTCCCATTGCTGCTGCCTCCACCGCCACACTGTGGCTCCAAACACTGGTTTTGGCCCCGTGACAGGCCAAATGAGTGAAGTGTGCGGTGATTCTAAGATCGACGGCACTCATCTGCATGTCATACTGACTGACAGTATTATTTCTCTTCCCCAGCAGACTCCAAGCGCATTTAAATTAAAGGTACAGTGTTCTGCACTAATATAAAGGCTCTCTGAAGCCTAGAAACACCCTTTTTTAAGTTAAATTCACAGCGAATATATTCGACTCGAATCGAATATTGTCCACGAATTCGCCGAATCAGTCGAATCGAATTTTTGAATACTTCGCTCATCTCTAATTGTTTTCAATGGAAATTTGTTGTTTTTTTTTATTGTAGGCCCTGTAATTCTTAGGAATAACTCACTGAAATCTGTCTGAACAAAAGTCTAGTAAACATCCCGGGGATGATAAAATTTGAAACACGAAATCATAAATTATAATATAACAAAAAATCATAAAAAATAATAATATAATAATAATAAATTTAATTCAATAATATAATCAAACCAAAAAAACACTGAAATTCGAAATATATATTCAGTGTCTGATGACGAATTTCCCCCACGAATCATTATCACTCAATTCTGCAAGTGGTTCTGATTTACTATCGCTGTTCTCTAGCCGGTCTAAAACCGCTTTTGACCTAAAGGGATGCTTTTTGGACGCCATGGACGTTTCTCAGTTTCCAGGCAGAAAGAACCCTACAGTCCGGCTTCCCTCCCCTACACTCCACCGAAACTGCCTTACTCAAACTCACCAATGACCTGCTAACCGCCAAAGCTAATGGCCACTATTCAGTGCTCCTACTCCTTGACCTCTCTATGGCCTTCGACACAGTTGACCACCCCCTCCTCCTCAAAAAACGACACTCCTTCAGCTTCAGAGATTCTGCTCTCTCCTGGCTCTCATCCTACCTGTCACAATGCTCTTTCAGCGTTACCTATAATGCTACCACCTCCCCCTCACTCCCCCTCTCTGTTGGGGTCCCTCAAGGCTCCGTCCTCGGGCCCCTTCTCTTCTCCATCTACACTTCCTCCCTTGGCCAACTCATACACTCTCACGGCTTCAACTACCACCTCTATGCCAATGACACACAAATCTATCTCTCAACCCCCCACCTCACCCCCTCGGTCTCCGCCCGAATCACACACCTACTGAGCGACATATCAGACTGGATGTCGCTCTACTTCCTTAAACTGAACCTCTCCAAAACCGAGTTTCTTGTCCTCCACCAGCCCGGACACCACCCCCCATTGACTTCTCCATCACATCCAACAACGCCACCATCAAACCCGCCCCGCAGGCCAGAGTACTTGGTGTCATTCTGGACTCCAACCTATCCTTCCAGCCCCAAGTCCAATCTTTAACAAACTCGTGCAGACTCCACCTCCGCAGCATCGCCAAAATCCGCACGTTCCTAACCCCAGAAACCACTAAACAGCTCATCCACTCCCTCATCATATCACGACTCGACTACTGCAACTCCCTCCTCACTGGCCTGCCTCGCCGCTGGCTATCCCCGCTTCAGTCCATCCTGAATACGGCTGCCAGACTCATTCACCTTTCCAACCGCTCCGTCTCCGCCACCCCCCTCTGCCAATCCCTCCACTGGCTTCCGATTACACAACGGATCAAATTCAAAATCCTAACGCTGACGTACAAAGCTGTCCACCATACTGCCCCGAACTACATCACTGACCTAATATCCAAGTACCACCCAACACGCACATTCCGCTCCTCACAAGACCTCCTTCTCTCTAGTTCCCTGGTCTCCTCCTCCCATGCCCGCCTCCAGGACTTCTCCAGGGTGTCACCCATCCTCTGGAACTCCCTACCCCAACCCATCAGATTATCACCTACTCTCCTCTTCTTTAGGCGCACCCTGAAAACCCATCTCTTCAGGGAAGCCTACCCCCACCCCCTGCTAACTTGCCGACCTCCTCCACTCTTCCTACCACTCCATCCCCCACAGCTTTCTTCTCCTGTGCCACCATCCCCTCCCTTCTAGCTTGTAAGCTCCAAGGAGCAGGGCCCTCAATCCCCTCATGTTTTGCATTGTATTGTTATTGTTCTGTCCCCCTTTGTAATGTACAGCGCTGAGCGAACTATTGGCGCTTTATAAATACTGTATAATAATAATAATAACAGTAAAAATGCAGGCAGGGCGCCGGACAAAGCACTCGGGACAAAATGTATGTGAAATGGTTTGTATACAGGAATGTTATACTATGTGATTTTAGTGTATTTAGTGAATGTCAAAATTTTTACATTTTTGAATTTCCCGCCAGTTCCGTCCCCCGTACGTCCCGACGTCACAGGGAACGGAACCCAGAAGACAGATGCCGGCATCGGTCGCAGGACATTGCCGGGGACACTGCAGGGGGGACATCACGGGAGCGCAGGACAAGGTAAGTGCAGAAGAGATCCCGGAGCAACGCTGCAGTTTATTCCCGAGTGTAGCTCAGGGGGGGGTTACCGTTTGTGGTGCTGAAAGTTAACCACCAGGTACACTCGGGAATACCGCCAGGGGGGTTAAGTAATGACAAAGTTATTGCCGAATAAACTGGTCCATAAAGAATGTACAGGGGGGGGGGCGGGGGGTTAGGAGGGGAACTGGTTAAAAGTTAAAAAATAAGGCAAAAAGTGATGTGAACTATGAGAATGTATAGGAGGAGGAAATGGTAACAGGGGCGGACTGAGCATTTGGAAACTGCCCGAGGGCCCGGGGTCATTAGGGGGCCCCATGAGATGCCCCTGGTACCTTTTTCATAGGCTTTTTTGAGTTTGGGCAAGGACACAGGGGCCCCCATGATCCCCTATTGCCCGGGGGCCCCATGAGTTGTCAGTCCGCCCCTGAATGGTAATTAAGAGTTCAGTTATGCAATTATCTGAAAAGTAAGATATAGACTGCTGGGGGGCAGATGGGAGGGAGATGCAAATGCAGGTTTATTACAATTTTATTGGGATTATCATGATAAAATAAATAATAAAAGCAATATAATTACATCTATATATAACGCGGAAATGATAGTTCTTTAGGCTGTTTTGCGCACTATATGCAATTATAATTTAATTTCTGATGCATGATTTAGATAAGCATCTACAGAGCAACACTTTTCTCTGACATTTTCAGAAATAATGATTCTCGATGTGATCCAAATGACCCTGAAAGTTGCTATCAGCGATCCTGTAATGTCTTATATTCTCAATGTATTTAAAGCCCGGCGATCGTACCTAGTTTTCAATATTCGGATTGCATTCAGTAATGACTCAAAGAGACTAGAAAGTAATGCTTTGTGATTTTTAAATAGAAAAGGTCTAAATGGCTGGGATCTTTGTAATGTTTGTAATCTTTATGCATGATTACTATAAGAGAAACAGTAAAGACGTGAAATGTATTGCAGCAACGTCAACTGCAATGAGCAAACAATGATTTTATCTGTTGACATGGTGAGATGCGGTGAAGTGTATTGTGCATCCAAGCCTAGTCCTGAGTGTTTCTATTGTCTATTGTCTTCGATTGCGATCTGTGGCCTGTTTTTAACGTATACTGTTGGACAGGCTCATTCGGTTTGTTTGCAGGCTGGTTGGTAAGCTGAGCCGGGAATTTTTTCTCTTTTATTGTTTGACATGCATCGCCCTTCCATGTGCTCCTTGCTGTGAAGGCCAGTTATAGACTGGGGCAGTGGCCATTTTTCTTGTACTGTTGCCCTGTTAGTGGGGGGGCGCAGTGGACACCTTGGCTGCCATTGTCCTACATGCAGGGTGTCCAGTGCGCTCCTATACCTTTAACCACTTCCCGACTGGCCGTTCTATATAAACGGCCAACGGTGGCAGTGCAGGGTCGGATGGCCGTTTATAAACGGCCTCCCCGCACCCTGCTTGTGCGCGCTCCCTGGGAACGCGCAGCACCGCGATCAGGTGCCCGCTGTGTCCTCTGAAACACCGATCGTCGGACGGGACCTCTGTACGAGGCCCCGATCATGTGATCACTGATTGGCCAATCAGTGATCACATGCAAAGTAGTAAGCAAGATGTTACTTGTGACATCATTGCTTACTACGTGTGAAATCTGTGAATGATCACAGAGGTCACATGGTACAAGGCTTTTCACAACAGCCTTGTACCATGTGACAAGCTGTGACCAATAACAGCTCACTCTGTACTTCTCCATGACTGCAAGAATGCAGACAGAGAGAAAGAGAAATGATTGCTTTTACATCCTGGGTGTGTAAAAGCAATCAGTGTAAATAAAAAAAAAAAAAATTCATCACCCCCCACAAGTAGTACAGTGTCACCATGGTGACGCTGTACTGCTAGGGTGACAGTATGTAAC